TTGGGGAGGCATCTTCCTGTGAAATCCTCTGTGCCCGTGCTAGAACTTTCACTTGCAGAAGCATTTAAAAAAATATCACACCTCTCACCAAGTAACTACTGTGGTAACACTCCATCTGCGGGTGAGGATGCTTCTGGAACCCTGAGAGATGCACTTCTCCATGAACCTCAGTGCCTCAGCTTTCTAAAGAATGCAAAAATAGAGCAACAGCAAACTTCTTGATTCAGAGCTCAGGAACTAGTTTTTGCTGGAAGAGTTTCTACTGCCGTGACACCACACAGGTGCACAAAACTGCCTCTCCCCTTTGTTTTCCAACTTTACGGTGGCAGTTAATGAAGTTAAACGTACCTTTGTACATTTTACTAAGGTTTACCGTTTAGATTTTAGGCAAATATCTCCTCTTTTCCCTGTATCAGCAGTGGCAACAAGCCTGGAAGGGAGCTTGACTTTCCATTTCAGTAGTCTACATTTTGGCATCTCCTTAGCCTTGGCTTGGAGGATAAGATGGGATTCCTGGTGGTCTCTTAACCAAACTGGCGATGTCTAAGAATGCCTGTTTCTTAATATCAGCTCCATTCAGCCTGGTAGCTCCAAGGATGCATTTGGGGGATTCTGGTTTAGTACTGTGACAGGATATAGAGAGCAGAGTGGTTTTTTTATGTAACAGAGACATCCTTCCCCTTAATTAAAAGTGTAAGCCAATTTATACAAGAATTTTGGAGTACTTTAACAACAAAGTGAGGCTTAACAATAATATTCAGCTAACTGAAGCCAGCTGCTTCACACAGGAACTGAAAAGACTAAGAAATGTGTTTTGAATAATTAAAAATGTCGTAAATAACTTAAATGACTATAGGAACAAGACTGGAAAACATCTTCAGAACACGGTGGATCTCTGAATTAACCACATAGTGTAACAGCAAGATGGCTGATAGTTCAAACAGCTGCTATTAATTTTTACAACAGCCTCTCAGTCTTGCATTGTAGGCTGCTGGAAGACTTAATCCTGGTATATCCATAAAAATAAAGGCACAGTGCCTTGGAAGATCTTTGGGAGGAAAGGGAAGTAACAAGTTGGGTCACTTCTCTTCGTGGCCAGAACATAGCAGCCAGCAGTCCTGAGCAATGACTGTCATTACACAGTCTATCGGGAAAAAAACCCAACAATGTAGGTAAGCAGGCAGGAGAAAGGCAGATGAAACCTACCATTTGTGAAACCTGCCATTTGTCAAACCAACCCAGTGCCTCCTGAACAGTACAGGATGCTAAATTAATGCTGGCTTCTTAAAACAACAATCCTGAATATTATAGACTCTGAAGACCACAAGAAGTAAGATAATTTTGTCTCGGTTCTTTTGTATTCGCACGTGTGACATCACCCTCTTCACCTAGCACGATACCATACCATGTCCTGCAGTCGCTTGCGAAGGACCATCTGGGGAAGGTTTCCTGAACTCTGTGGCAAGAGAATCTTTAACCTAGAAGTGACTCCTGGTGTATGGTCATGAAACTAGGTCTGGCAAGATGGAGAAAAGAGCACGGTCACATGTTTAACTTCCATTTCATGGCTTTTTTGGTTTGTTAGGTTTATGTTAAGTTTGTACCACAATCATTTTACGGCAAGGACAGTCTCTGTATATAGCAGCAGCCACTTGTCGCTGGTGAATTATATGGTGAATGGAAAGATACGGTGCTATAACAAACAAACAGCGCTTCCTCACCCAGATTACCCAGTGGCTGCTGAAAATTATCAGAAGCCAGCAGACACCTCCATAGTCTCCGAAGGAGGAAACCTGTTTCCTTTAGCGCGGAGATGAAGGCAGCAGGTAGTTACCCTCCCGCAGCTCAGGGGACTCGG